ATTATTTTACATTTGAGTTTCCTCTCCAGTCTTGGAGTTTCTGTTAATGTTTTTGTACAATGGACCTAGCAGTTTTTTGTTTTGGAGTTCATTTTGTCTGTCTGGCCCTAAACTTTTCTGATGAGGCACTCAGAGGAATCTAAAGAATCAATACCTCCCAAGCTAATCAATTAAAGCCCTCATTGCTTCACCTGTGCGGTTATGAAGAGACATCTTGCCATTTAGAGTTGCCAACTGGCCAGATAGAGATGAGCTTTGTTTGTTCCAAACCTTTTAGCAAACAATGAAATAATAATAATAATATAAAAGTTGGACTGCTGGCCCATCGACGTCAGAACTTGGTACTGTAACTAGTATTGAATCTTTGGGTTTTTTACCAGAGGTCTTCATCATGCCTATTACTAGATCATTTCAATTTCGATATGAGCCAGGGACCATCTATATGCAAATCATTTATCCCTCCACCAAACACTGATCCTTTCCCATACACAGCAGATAAGGGTTTCCATGGCATGGAACTAAACTTGTACATTAAATAAGTTCTGTAGAGCAAATTGCTATTAAAGGAGCGTGGATAGGGACAGGTTTTGCAAACTTACTGTATCAGCAAAACATTGCATGCAAGGAATCTGGATGGAACAGCATACACAATTTCATCAATATTGCCACCTCACATGTAATACTTTATCAGTGCACTTTTTCACAGTCGTCACACAGAAGGGGGTAATACAATTGAACAAAAGGATCTGAAAGCTATGCCCAATTTTGCATGTGCAATGCTCTGTACAAAATGCAGAAAAAAATAATTGGAACAACCAACATTCCTTAATAGGTCAGTCCCATTTTGGAAGTTGTACTTTGGTTCTCAAATGGAATCTGTTCCAGAAGTCTGTTCAACTTCCGAAAACATTCAAAAACCAAGGCGTGACTTCCAATTAGCTGCAGGAGCTTCCTGCACTCATTCGGAAGCTGTGACTTCCAAAAAAAAGTTTGTCAACCAGAACATTTACTTCCGGATCTGCAGCGCCTGGGAGCCAAAACCTTTGAGTCACAAGGCGTTCAAGAACCAAGGTACAGCTGTAATTCAGAGCTCTACCATCCGGCAGGGTGTGTGTGTGTAAGTCAAGAGACAAGAATTTCAGAAATGTTCCTGGCATGTTTTTGAAGCATTAGCTAGACCTGAGTCTATTCAGCAGATCTCCCAGCAAGTGTAGCCAGTACAGTGCCTTCCAGATGTTGTTCCCAACACTTCTGACCAATGGCCATGATAACTGGGGCCAATGGGAATTGTAAGCTAATAGTTTCTGGAAGGAACCAGATTGGCTACCCCTGTTGTTGAGTCTCAGTATTGAATTCTCAGCTCTTTCTCCCTTGTCCATGAGGAAATGGAAAGGTTCTTCAGGCAGAATGTCTTTCCATTCTTCTCTTCTTGGGTATCTAAATGACGACATAGCAGTAGTAATTATTGATGGGGGAGAAATTCAATTCAATTTGCATTTAAAGACAATGTTACTTTATTCACACTTTCCAAAACAATACGCAAACTGAAGCAGAGCTGTCCTTGAAATATGCACTTCTCTGAATATTGAAATGTAGTTCTCCAGCTAGTAACACATTCTCCAGCAAGTAACGTGTAGAAAAAAATGGTAAAGTGTACACAAAACACAAATGTTGTTTAAAATAACATCAAAAATGCATTATATTAGGGGAAATTGCTTTGCAAAGATGCATAATTGCATACAAACGTGTATGTTAGCAGATACTCATATTTAAATGCTGATGAACTTTCATGATCAGTGGCGTAGTGTGGGTTGTCAGCACCCGGGGCAAGGCAAGTAATTTGCGCCCCCTAACCCGTGGATTTGCGCCCCCTAACCTATGGATTTGCCCTAACCCCAGATGTTGCGCCTGGTGCGGCCGGCCCCCCCTGCACCCCCCACGCTACACCACTGTTCATGATGACTTCTTCTTTCTCTTTTTTAATGCCAAACTGATGTGGAAATGTGGAGAACTCAACTTACAATTGGAGTGGAGGGAATGCGAAACTTGAGAAAAACCAGAATTGACCGATTCAGCCATCCCTAGAAGTAATAGGTAATAGCATTTTAATGCTACTAATTATGTCCTGAATGTAATAATACCATTGCAACATATAGTTTCTTTGTCTGGGATGGCAAATTTATAACATCCTGTCGTCCCCCCCTCTTTCTCCCTCTTCTGTCCTTGAAAGCTATAATCCATGTGAAGGAGTTACAGAAATGAGATTCATCTGCAAGATTTTCTTATAAATAGCTCCTCTATAACATCCACCTTGCTGGAGCCCACCAATTCCCTAGGCTTCCATGAACTGCTTACTGAATGGGTGAGTTGTAGATGGCTTTCCGAGGCAATTTCTATGATTGCTAGCCTGTAACATAATCATATACCAGAACCATTGGGGCCTGAGACAATTTCCCATCCATTTACCTCTGCCTTCTGACAATCCTATATCACAGGGTGCCCAGGAAATACACAAGATGCATGAAGCAACGAAGGAGGATAGACTTAATTGACTTATTTTCATCTCTGCCGCCAAAGATTTAGTCATATGTAGCCTAAGCAGAGCAAAAAAGAAAAGAAAAGAAAAATCTGACATTTTATTCCTATATAAATAATTTCAGCTTTGGATCTGCTATTTTGTCTGCTCAAGGTAGCTGCTCCATTTTTCTCCATTATATTTTGGGCAGAAAATAATTCTTTCCCCTCCCTCAAAATTATTGATACCCAGAATAGTATTTCTTTTAAAGGAGAAAGCTTGCAATATCACTTTCTTCTGCTGTAAGACAGGGCAACAAGGACTCCATTTCCATCAAACAGATAATGCCCCTTGAGCTTGAATGGTATTAGCTCTTTATCTATGACACCCTTGAGCTGGGAGCTATTGAGCCATCGTCCATCATATGATTGAGATCCATTGATGATCCCTTCCAAAAACTGCAACCTAGGATGTTGCTTAATATTGGAAGGGCACCAGTGGAACACAGTAGATCGTAGGAGGTTTATTGACAATCTCAAAAACTCTGAAAGGTTAACAAGACAGGACTTTGCAGAGGACTTGTTGCCCTAGAAAATGTTAGCTCTGGAAATTTTGTCTTTGTGCAGATGGTGTCATTTTACAATAGTGGTAGAGAACCTTGGACCCTCCCACCTTCTCTATTTGGGCTTATGTGGCATATCCCTATACAACCACACCTGTGTCCCAAGACTATAGTCCTCAGTGACCCTCCTTTGCCTCCTCAAGTGCTTTTACCTGATTGAAATGCATCCTAGAATTATGACGATGTGTTTTGCTTGCCTGGGTGGAGGAGAATGTGTGTGAATGTGGCCCCCAGATGGATGCCCAGATGGGAATGTTGCCCTCAGGTTGAAAAAAGCTTCATCATTCGTTTCAACAGTTATTCATTAAAGCTAACTGGAGCTAGCCCTATTTGAGTTCTTGTACATGAAAGACAGCACCCCATGACATTGCCACATAGCAAAGCACACGGCTTGGAGATATGTTCTTGTCAGAGCTGTCTCAACATCACTGCTGCCTGAAGCCAAGGAAGAGATTATGCCCTCCATCACATTCTATGTACAAAAACCACCCAGATTGGCAGTTAAACCCTACTTTGACAGGACAACATCTTCCACTGCACTTGAGGCAGCAGACCAGGTCAGGAGCTACAAGATGGGCCATATTGTACACAAACAGCTGCCCTCCAGTTGCTTGCGCCTTTGCTGCCCCGATCACCACAAGGAAGGGATCATTTTGATGTTTCTTTGCATCTGAACATTTGGCCTGGGCAGCTCCTCTTCTTCATCTAGGCGAAGGCACTCTTCTGCAAGACATCTCAGGGCAGATTCCAGAATGGTAACTTCATTCTTCTTCTTCTTCTTCTTCTTCTTCTTCTTCTTCTTCTTCTTCTTCTTCTTCTCCTCCTCCTCTACCGATTACTTCGCTTTTCATTGTAGTGTGATGGAAAAGTTTCAATAAAAAATTATGGGGGGAGGGACATTTAAATATGGCCTGCGGCTGTAAAATCCAATATACACATGATTAATTGCCCAAATTCATTTGGGAAAACTCCCACACTAAACTGCCTTAGGAATGCTGGATTTTTTAAAATGCATACCTGTCAGGGACTGGGCAGAGGGTGAATGGTGGAGACTGTCTCCCCATCCTGACCCTTCCAGAGAGGAGGAAGAGGAAGACAGTATGGATTTACAATAGGGGTTAGAGGGAAGTCACAGTTCAGAGGCAGATGAGGGGGAAAGTTGGGAAATCATGGGAGAGCCAGAGCAACAGCTGCCTGACACGTCATTAGAAAGCATTCCAGACCCATCTCCCGGAACCCAGAGAGCCTTAAAAGTAGGAGAGCAAAGAGATTGAAGACAGGGCACTTAGCAGCACCTGTAGAGGAGGTGATGATGACGACGAATGAGGAAGGGGGAGAGATGGGGGTGGAGATTCATTCGGGACAGTGCCATTATTCAAGAGGCTGGGTTCTATAGCCTCTCTCTGTAAAGTTTGAAATAAAAAAAAAGGACTAAGAAACTTTTCCTTGTCTTTATACTTTCCTGGGCAACCAGCTGGGAGCTGGTGGCAGCATCCTGACAATACCCCATATTCAAAAAATGCAGACTGAATAGATGTCAGATGTGGAGCTAAGGTAAGGTAAAGGACCCCTGGACAGTTAAGTCCAGTCAAAGGCAACTATGGGGTTGTGGCGCTCATCTCGCCTCAGGCCGAGGGAGAAGGTGTTTGTCCACAGACAGCTTTCTGGGTCATGTGGCCAGAAGGACTGAACCACTTCTGGTGGAACGGAACACCGTGATGAGTGCCAGAAGGTAAACGCCATTTACCTTCATGCTGTAGCGGTACCGATTTATCTACCTGCAGTGGTGTGCTTTCAAACTGCTAGGTTGGCAGGAACAGGGAACAGAGCAACGGGAGCTCATTCCGTCACAGGGATTCAAACCGCTGACCTTCCAATAGGCAAACCCATGAGGCTCAGTGGTTTAGACCACAGTGCCACCCACTCCCTATTAGGCCATCTAGGCAGCTACCTAGGGTGCAGACCTCAGAGGGGCAGAGTAGTGACCTTTGAAGGGCACGGTTTTATACTGATTATTTTTTGTCATATCTTAAACATTTCTGATAATACTTTACTTTTATTTTATCTTTTGAATGCAGTTTCTCAAAGCTCAGACCTACAACATATCCTTAAAGTTGTTGCAAAAGAGACTAGTTGGCTTGGCAACTATATCTTGGATCATGCACATGTGTCAGTAGTTGACCTGAAGGAATTGGCGACAAAACCTGCAAAGAAAAAGGTATGCAAGGTGAGATTTTTATGTGCTTGAAATCAAAACTTTTAAGAGGCTTAAATTTTAACATCAGAATTCGCAAGATTATTCAAAATGATGTGTGTGCTAAAACATATCTTCTGTATTTGAGAAGGATAATCAGATATGGTTGTATTACATATTCTTACAATTTAAAACACGTTTAGCCATTTCAAATTTTGTGCTTTTTGTTTTTTCTGTAAGACATCTGTTTTTGAAAATTGTAGTTAGCAATTTTCTAAAAAAAATTTTTTGGGGTGAGGGACAAATAATTAGTCTTGCCTAAGGTCACAGGTTCCAACTCCCTGGGGCTCTGTGTGCCTGAGCACCCACAAAATTCTCCATGAAGGGGCCAGGCACCCACAAATTTCAGTGGCAGGGTCATGCATGCTGCATGGCGCCCATGGCTCCGGGCACCATGGTCCTGGGGCCAAGTTGGCACTGCTGCCTAGGGTGCAAAACAGCCTGGCACCACCACTGGGGCAAGGCACAGCAAGTGTGTAGGCATGGTACCCATCCATTCTCTTGATTCTCTCCACACATGGGAGAAGTGTCTTCCAATCTGGCATGGTCTTCTATAGGTTGTACTACATTTGCTTGCGCCTATCCCCCAACTCTTATAATAATAATAATAATAAATTTTATTTATATCCCGCCCTCCCCAGCCGAAGCTGGGCTCAGGGCGGCTAACAACAATCAAAATAGTCCGACATTCTAAAAACATTCATTATAAAATTAATTAAATCAAATTAATGGCAACCATCAAGCAAAATTCTGTGCAGATTGCCGATTGCCAGAGGAGGGGGTCAGGCTGCGCCCTGACCAAAGGCCTGGTGGAACAGCTCTGTCTTGCAGGCCCTGCGGAAGGATGTCAGGTCCTGCAGGGCCCTAGTCTCTTGTGACAGAGCCTTCCACCAGATTGGAGCCACGGCCGAAAAAGCCCTGGCTCTAGTTGAGGCCAGCCTAACCTCTCTGTGGCCTGGGATCTTTAGGATGTTTTTATTTGCAGACCGTAAATTTCTCTGTGGGACATACCAGGAGAGGCGGTCCCATAGGTAATATTATAATATTTGCCTATTCTCTCCCCCTCCCCAATTCTTCTTCTGGAACTGCTATTATTAGCTTTAAAGCAGGGAGGGAGATAGAAAAATGAATATTGGGTTATTTTATTCTTTTGAAGCCTATCAGAAGATGAGCACTCTAAAAAGGAATCTGCTCCCTTCTTATCCACTTTGAAAGATGTTCTGTCTTTGTAAGGACAGATATGTTAGTAAACTCATTTAAAATAATGAGCTCCACACTCCTACTCCTTTTCCGCGATACTCTTGGCCCCTCCATATCAAATAAAAATAAAAAGTCCCCTTTCAAGTTAAAGTTACCATTTGCATTCCTTTGTAATTTTTTAACCTTTAATGACTTTTTAATTTAGCTGTTTAATTTCTGATTTCTAATGCCTATAGCCGCTTCTTTAAAATGATATCTCAGCTGTGCTTTTCCTAAAAGTCTCCAACACGGCTATAGTTTGTTCAAAGGATTGCAATGTGCTTAAAGCATGCCAGTTAGCGCTCTCTCTCTATATATATTTATATATATTCTGCAAAACCTTAGCACCACACACTGGCTGTTGATCAAGCTGTGCATTTCTAAGGGATTTGCTACTGAAGCCTTTAAAATGGCTTCTAAGAATTCTCCAGCGACTGATGTCAGATGGATAGAGCTGTAACCGAGGCCAGGCACTTTGGTTGAGAATACAGAACAGATGTGGAGTGATAGATGCTGGGCAGAAAGAGAGGAGAAGGGGTAGCTTTTAACGTAGGTGAGGCTGGTGCTGGAGACTTTGTTTCAATCTTAAATTCACCATGACTGGCCCAAGACACTATGCTGCATGAGATGGGCACAATGGCACTCCTCCCTCATTCCACATACCAGTCCTGTTCTGTGGTGAGACTGGGGGACAAGACAAGGCACAAGCTGTGCTTTAGGAACACAGACGTATAATGCTGCTTCAGCAAGAAACAAACTGAGTCCAATATTATAGCAGCAGTGGCATCCTAACTGCTAGCCCTGCTCACATCAGTAGGTACTACTTTAATTAATGGCCTGGACTTCTCCAGTAGTCTCCTACTGTAACAGAGCAAGGGAATCTCTCGTTTCACTGGCCTATCTGCAACAGAGTTGTTTGTCCCCTAGGATATCAGTGACATGTCCTCAGGCTGGAGGGGCACTGACCCAACAGGCAGTAGCAGCTTTTCTGGGCCTGATCCTTTAGGCCTTTTCCCTTTTGGTAAGGAGTCCTGGGTGCCATCACCTGTAGAAGAGGAATGTGACTCTTCCTAATAACAGGGCAGGAAGCCCAAGGCATACCACCATCTGAAGCAAAGTCCAAATTCCCCGCCCCAATCTGCTACATTCAACAAATCTACAGCTGGTGTCCCTGGAGACACAATAGCTGAGCTGTACGAATCATCAAATGGACACTCTTCCACATAAACCATTGTACATGTGTGGAGACAGCTTGTATTCAGTACAATGTGTGAATGGGCTTTATAGAATAGAAAGGAGAAGGGCATTCCTGTCATTGTGTTTCATCACTGGGAATGCAGTGGATGATGAATAGTGTCCTGGCTCCCATGTATGGGCATGGTACCTGGACTGTCAGCATGGTTATTTCCAAAACCTTTATTCCAGAATTCACTGCAAATAGATCAGTAAGCAAATATACCGTATAGATCAGTAAGCAAATATACCGTCTCAGCATTTGACACTCACCCTGAGCTCTCCTTTTGAAGAGCGGGGTGGACACAGTCATTTGTGCAGGTTCTGTCCCAAGCCACAGGTTTAAGCAAGCAAGCAAGCACTTCTATGGGTGGGTCTGTTCAAACTGGCACAACCAATGCCATTCATTGGAGATGGAAAACAGGACAGTGTTATATGTTCACTGTCCAGCCTTAGCTCTAGTGCCTCCCCGGGGGTAGAAAGTGCTTCACTGTCCAAAGACAGATCCAGAGCCAAGTTGAACAATTCTTCCTCAATGCTTAGGGCATCTCATAATGATGAGGAGAGGCTTTCTCCTGACAACCAGCTCAGCCTCTTCCCAGCATCCAGCTCAACACTTTCCAGTGCACTGGGCCCCTCTCCAAGATCAGGTTCAGCACTGCCATACCATTCCTCCCTCTACCATCAACCAGCCCTGCCATGAAATCTCCACAGGGTTCATGGCATATAGTGGACAGAGGCAGAGTAGCTGAAGATATTCCCAGTGTGGGTTTAGGCTACTGACATCATTAGGGTGGCCAGACAGTCAGCAACTATGTGTTGGCATGGTGCTGTCTCTAGTATCCCTTGCTTCCATGGCCCCTTTCTATTGACAAAAGGTAAGAGTAAAGAAGCCTCTCCTTCCTCCATTTGCATGACCTGAAAGCCAGAAATTGCACCCAAGAGAAAATCACCTCATTGGTCTGAACTGCTTCCTATGTACTTCATTATTATTATTATTATTATTATTATTATTATTATTATTATTATTATTCCTTTAAAAGTGCTTATTAGATCTAGGAGAAATTGGAAAAATGGGGAATTGAAACTGACCCATCTTAGATTCTTCTCCCACACACATTTCCATTTCAGTTTGCATTAAAAAAAAATCCTCGTGAAAAGTTCATTTTTAAATGTGAACTGAATTGAATTTCTCTGCCATCCGTTGTGCTTCTATAAACTGAGCTGTGTGCATATATTTTAAGACTTGAATGCATAACTCCCCTTTTGGAAAGTTATGAGAAGCCACTGTGGAAGGGATTTCATTTAATGATGATTTTATACAACAGCAGAGGTTTGTTTTCCTTTGTGTGCACCTACAATGACAAATTTTAAATGTTTCCATCCCCAGCCTAATAGTAACACAGGCTGTTTTCAAGGATCTCTGTGTAGTGGGTAGTTCCAACACATCTTTCTCTTTAGTTTGAACCCCTGCTGTTGAAAAGTTATTTGCACTCAGATCAAATTGTGATCCGGAGAAAATGAAGGCATTTATGTTGAGGGGGAAAGGGGTGTAAAGGGGGGAGGGAAGGATGTACATATGAAATATTTATAGGATTATTGTTACAACATGGGAGAAAAAAAGGTATCAATACAATTATGCTCCACAAATCAGATAAGACCCAGGAAACCTGTTTTTGGAAGGAAGAGAGAAGTAGGGGTGGGGGGAAATTCTCCAGTATGTGTGTGCACGCAAAGACTTTTGTATTATATGCTGTTGCTTTGTCATCCCAGTATAAAAGGATAGTTTTCTCATCGACTGTAGTATTTTCCATATAAGGAGCATTTTGACAAACCGAGTAAGCTTCATTTCAAAGACCTCTCGCTTGGGACTGATAAATCTTGAATGCTTCTGATTACCTGAAGGAACAATATTCAGGCTTATGAGATTCCAAAGTGCTTTTCATCTTCATGCAATGCAGCTATTTTCTGAACCTTTGACCTCATTACCATGCAGCAGCTACCTGCACTTCAGTCTTTAAATAATAAAAATCGCATCTGAAGAACCAAAACAAAATAAAATAAAATATATTTTATTTATTTGTTGTTCTTGCTGTTTTTAAACACTCCTCAGAAATTGCTCTAACTCTATTTGACTTTCCTTAGATAAAATGATTATGTTTCTGTTATATTTTGTAATATGAGAGATCACTATTGGTAGCTATTATGTTTTAGGAATATGTCCACAAGAGACTTTAAGGTTGTAGTCCTATTTGTGCTCACCTGGGAGTAACTTCCACTCAAATCAATGGAACCTGTTTCTAAGCAGACATGTACAGATTTGCTGTGTTAGACTAGCATTGTTCCTTGGGAAAGAGCTGCGGTTCAGTGGTAATCTGCTTTGCATGCAGAAGGTTAAAATCCCCAGCATCTCCAGGTAGGACTGGGAATATTCCCTATCTGAAACCCTGTAGACAGGATATTAGACAATACTGAGCT